CGCTGCTGCTGCTGCTCATCAGCTACGTCTTCAAGTTGTGGCTCTAAGCAGCAGCAGCAGCAGCTGCTGCTGCTGCAGCGTGTGGCTCTATGCAGCAGCTGCTGCAGCATTTGCTGCAGCAAATGCAGTTGCTGCAGCTGCTGCTGTTGTTGCAGCTGCTGCATTAGGCTCGAAGCAGCAACTGCTGCTGCTGCTGCAGCTATTGCGTCTGCGGCATGCGGTTCTGAGCAGCAGGTGCTGCGGCAGTTGCCGCAGCAGCTGCTGCAGTTGTTACAGTTGCTGCATTTGCTGCTTGCGGCTCTAAGCAGCAGCTGCTGCTGCTGCAGCAGCTGCTGCTGCAGCTGCTGCAGGGCGCTACGCGCCCAGCGCAGTCGACATTTTTTATCTGTAAGTACCACGCAAAGGGCGCAGCAGCAGCAGCAGCGCAGCAGCAGCCAGAAGGGACCGCGCGATTCCCTTGTTTTGCTGCTGCTGCTGTAGCTTTTTGCTGCTGCAGCTGCAGCACGAACATTTAAAGCAAAGGCGCGAGGCACATGAGGCTTTTATTTCGCATCTGAGGTGTACAGACACTAGCAGCAGACTGCCTGCTCCTCTACTGCTGCTAGCTGCTGCTACTCCTGCAGTGAAGCAAACGCTGTTGCTGCTTCAGAAAAGCAAATGCTGCTAGCTCCTGCTGCTGCTTCAGAGAAGCAAACGCTGCTAGCTGTTGCTGCCACTGCAGATGGGCAAATGCTGCTAGCTGCTGCTGCAGCAGAGCAGCAACTGGTGCTAGCTGCTGCAGCAGCAGAGCAGCAACTGGTGCTAGCTGCTGCAGCAGCAGAGAAGCAAAAGCGCTGAAGCTTAAAAGACAAAGCAGTCATTGAAGCGGCAAAAGAGCCGCACGGTTTTTGGGGCCTTGCAGACTACGCAGCTCTTAAAGAGCTGCTGCTGCAGCTCCCGCTGCTGCTGGCGCTGCTGCTGCTGCTGCCGCGGCTGCAGCGGCTGCTGCTGCTGCGACTGTCGTTGCGGCTGCGCTTCCCACCGCTCTCGCTGTCGCTGCTGCTGCAACTGCCGCTGCGACTGCCTCTGTTGCTGCGACTGTCACTGCTGCTGCTGCTGCAGCGACTGTCGTTGCTGCTGCTGCTGCAGCAAATAGGGCTGCGCTCCCCAGTGCCCCCCGCAGAGCAAAAGATCAAGTGCCCACGCTGATCTTTTCGCCAGCGCAGATGAGGGCTAGAAGCAGCAGCTGCAGCAGCAGCAGCAGCAGCAGCAGCGCGGGACTTCGCCGCTGAGAGAAGCAAATGCCAAAGTCATTGTTGCTTCTTTGCTGCTGCAGCTTTTCCTTCTTCACTTTCGTTTTCTCCCTCATCTTCATCTTCGCTGCGGACGTCCTCGCAGTCCTCACGCGACCCATCTGCAGCAGCAGCAGCAGCAGCAACTTGTTAATCTGAGCTGGTGAACGAGTGAGTCTGGCAGCAGCAGCAGCAGCACCTTAATTTCAACACATGAAACAGTGAGTCTGGCAGCAGCGGGAGCAGCAGCAGCAATTCGTTACTTTGAATCTACGAGGGAGTCTGACAGCAGCAGCAGAAGCAGAAGATAGCTGCAGCAGCAGCAGCAGCAGCAGCAGCACTGGAGCTTCACTTACTGCGGACAGCTGTGATGAGGCCCACGGCCATTCTTATGATACACCAGAACCAGTAAATGTGCAAAACCTGGAAAATAAAACAAATCGAATCAATTCAAGTTAAATTAAATTAAATTAAATCAAATTAAATCAAATTAAACTAAATTAAATTAAATTAGATCGAAATAAATCAGAAAAGAAACGAAGCCCGGCTCATGGCTCCACATATATATATATATGTATATATACATATGTAAACATATATATATATATATATATATATATATATATATACATATATATATTGTATAATAGTATATATATGTATATATATATAAATAAATATAAATATATATACAAAACCTGCATCCACCCACGCACTCCCCCACGCAGAGATGCACGCATGCACACAAACACACACACACACGCATGCATGCACACCCGCATGCACGCATGCATGCGCACACGCATGCATGCATGCATGCATGCATGCATGCGTGTGTGCATGCATGCATGCGTACCTGGAGGACAACGAGGAACCAGGGGAGCACCAGTCCGCCGGGGATGCGCCAGCGGGACTCGACGAAGTCCTGCGTGAGGGCGCGGATGAGCTGCGTGTTGAGAGTGGGCTTGACGCAGTAAAAGGGGAAAATGAGAAGTCGGGTGGCGAAGTAAACAACAACGAAGACGCAAAAGGACAACTCCACGGCCCCCGAGCCCACGCGGCTGTAGTGCAGCGACTTCGACAGGTACAGGAACACGTCCGCGGCGTCGTGCAGCAGCAGCACCACCTGAAACGCACCAGCAGCAGCAGCAGCAGCGGCAGCAGCAGCGGCAGCAGCAGCGGCGGCGGCGGCGGTAGAGGTGGGGGTGGGGGTGGCTAGCTTTGAGCTTCGAGCAGGTTTGCGGGGAGAAGGAGATGCGGTAGGAAAGCAGCAGCAGCAGCAGCTGCTGCTGCTGCTGCTGCTGCTGCTGCTGCTGCTGTTTGAGTGGCACGGGCCTGTGGTCACGCGTCAGCGCGAGGTGTACGTACACCGCAGCGCCGGGCGCCGCTCCAGAGCTGGAAATGCGGGAAACTAAATTTAAAATAAAAGAAATTAAAAAGAAATAAAACAAATTCAAAGAAAATAAAGAATATAAATTAAAAAGGAAGTGAAAGAAGTACCAAGCCGATCTTCCAGTAGGAGCAGCAGTAGGAGAAGACCACGAGCATGATGGTGACGAAGTGGTGGATGAAAAGAATTGCAAAATCTCTTCTTCGCGTTTCCACATTTATAAATGCCAAACAACTTAGCCAAAAAGAAAGTTGAAAAAGATAATAGTTCCGCGTGGACACCGACGGCAGCAGCAGCGGCCAGCCCCCCGAGCCCCGCTCCAGCTCTTCCGGCGCGCTCATCCAGTACCTGCAGCGCACCCGCTGCTGCTGCTGCTGCTGCTGCTGCTGCGGCTGCCGGGGCAGCAGCACGGGGGAACGGGGGCAGCGGCCAGGGCGAGCGCAGCAGCAGCGAGGGAAGACGGCCAGAAGCAGCGGCGAGGCAGAGGGGCAGCAGCAGCAAAGGGTAAGGAAGCAGCAGCAGCAGCAGCAGCAGCAGCAGCAGCGCGGTGGGCATGTCAGGCAGCAGCTCACCAGCGGCCGTCCGGCTGCTGCATGTGCAGCCGGGGCCATCCAGGGACTTCTTTAGTTCCGAATTCTTGCAGCAGCACATAAAAGCCCCACACGCAGGCGCTGCCGTGCCACAGTGTGTACCTGCCCCACACCAGCAGCGCAGCAGCAGCAGCAGCAGCAGCAGCAGCTCAGCAGCAGGCAGCAAAGCGGCGCAGCAGCGCAGCACAGCGGTGCAGCGGCAGAGAGGGGATTCGGACTGGCTGCTTCCGCAGCTTTTCAAGTGCCCTGCAGCAGCAGCTGCTTCTGCTGCTGCTGCTGCTGCTGCTG